AATGTCCCCTTTCAGTTTTCCATCCTGCTGCTGCCCAGGCTCACAGGTGAATGCTGGGAACCACCCTGGTTCCAGAACTGTCCTGTAAGGTCACTTAAGGTTTGAGTTCTGCTTTAATCATGAGCTGGGAGAAATTGTTTTGGTGTGGGGATCTGGAACCTGTACTAGGCCTAGAAGAACTTCCTGGAAATGACAGTTCCCACAGGAAAAGAGCTCCCCCCCTTTCTCTCCCCCTTAAAAACCTGTAGGGAGCCTAGGGGTGGGTGGTTTCAAGCCACTGCCCTTAAACACAGTTGCCATCCTGTCTTTACTGTCTGCCAGCATGCCTTCTTATCCCTGACACATATCAAATGATGCCATTTGTAATGGGTTTTGGCTTGAACCCAAATTGAGTGTGTTAGAGTTAAATGTTATTGGGGAATTCTGTGAGGGAGGAAGAACCAATTAGAGTCTGTGTAGTATGACTGCTTGAAGCCCTCATTCTCATCAGTGAAATGCAGTTGAAAGAAAGACCTCTCTCAGAGGAGACTCTCATATTTGAAGTTGAATTTTCTGAGCCTAATTCTCTGATGAAGCTGAAAGCAAGTGTCCTGCTGCCCCAGAAACCAGAGGTCAAAGGGAAGCCTGGAGTTGGCTTGATGACACCCATGACTAGAGCAGGTGGTCACAGCTGACCAGTCAGCAAGTTGCATCCAGGAGGTGCCAGTGGTCCCTCCTACCATGATGCTTCTGTTTTCCATGTGCCAAGGCACCCACAGCAAGACCCGCTCTGCTACCACAATTCCTCAAGTGGCTCGCTGCTTCCTCCTCATCATGGTGCCGCTCAGAGCATGGAACAGGCTGCAGGCACGAGTGTGAGTTCTGGAGTTGGGCGGCCTGAACTCATGCCTTCCTTTTGATCTGCTCCTGAGCTTAGGTAGCTTGCTTGCAGAGTGGGTATGTCTGCACTACACTGCCCTGTCAGCCAATGGCCACCACTTACCTGCCCCTTCAAATACCACCCATATGGTTGGGCAATGTGGCAGTCAAAAGTCTGTGCGGGCTGGGCTGGTGTCTCTGTTTCATGGGGCCAAAGTCAAGGTCTTAGCTGCTTTGACTCCTACTGGGGGGTACTGGAAAGAACATGCATCCGTATATTTGTAGTGTGTGGCCATTTCCTTGTTGACTGTTGACTAAACAAGGTGACTCTGGAAGCTGCCTCTTTCCCTGGGCATTGGTTCCCTTCTTCTATCTTGAAAGCCAAGAGGGTCAAGTTCTTGTGCTTTAAATTTGTCTGACCTCCCTTTCTGCTTTGCCTTACTTTCTCCCTCTATATGTACATGTATATGCATGTTCATGTGGATACTTGTGTGTGCATGTGCATATGAAGACCAGAGGTCAAATTTGGGTGTTGTTTTACTTTTTTTTTTTTTTTTTTTTTTTTTGAGGCAGGGTTTCTCTGTGTAGCGGTGGCTGTCCTGGAACTTGCATTATAGACCAGGCTGGCTTCGAACCCACAGAGTTCCCACCTGCCTTTCGAGTGCTGGGATTAAAGGCCTGCGCCACCACACCCAGCTATTGGGTATTATTCTTCAGGAGCTGTCCACATATGTTTTGAGGTTGGGTATCTTCTTTGACCTGGGGCTTGCCTGTACTGCTAAGCTGGCTGACCAGTGAGCCCCAGGGATCCTCCTGTCTCCCTGCTGGAACTACAAGTGTGTGCCACCACATACGTTTTATTATGGATGCTGGGGATCCAGCTGAGGTCCTTGTGCTCACATTACTAATGTGTCCTGAGGTGTCCTCAGCTCAGCCTTGTTGGCCTTTCTTTACCATCTTTCCCTGCTTGTCTCTGACTCTGCCTTTGAAGGCTCCATCACCAGATTGGGCCTACCCAGAGTCTTCATTTCCATCTGCAATATCCCTTTTCAGCAGTACCTGAATTACTGTACAAGTAACTGGAGGATGGAATATTGGAAATGTTCTAGAAGGCTTTTCTACCCAGCATAGGTTGTGAATGTGTCTGCCATAGAGATGGGAAATGTAGAGCAAAGGTGCTAACATCTACTGAGTATTCAGTACCCGTTAGCCACTGTGGGGTAGAGCAGGCACACATGGCCTGCACTGTTCGGTAGGACTGTGAGGTTTTTGCAGTAAAGGCCCTGGGACCTCAGAGCTCTCTGTGGCAGTAGTCAGCATCCAGTGACATCAGGTTCCATGGGCATCCTGAAACAGCAGGTGCCCACCTGTAGATGTGGTTTTCTGTGTTCATTGGTTCCCCCCTGAGAAAGTGTGTCCTTTCCCCCTGAGCTGTCACTGCATTATTTCTTTTCCCCATTGTCTGCCATTCAGAGCTGGTCACACGTGGTTAAATGTTTCTTTGGTGAGGTGCCTCACAGATTATCCAACAAAGCAAGAAGTTCTTTTCTTTCCTCCTTTTTCTTTTTTTCTTTTTTTTTTTTTTTCCTTTTTGGAGACAGGGTCTCATAGCTCAGTCTGGCCTCAAACTTCCTATGGAGCCAGAGATGACTTTGAACTAGTCCTTCTGCCTCTGGGAGAAGACATGCACACCATGCCTTGCAGTAGGTGCGTCTTGTAAAGGCCAGATCTGGGCCCCAATTCAGGAGCTCAGTCGGTTAGGGTCAGCAATAGTCACCACAGCTTTCAGAAGCTTGAGCCACAGCTGAGAGCATGGGAAGCCTTCCAGTCTGACTTGTGCTTGAAGCACAACCTTGTCACCACGTCAGGCTTCACTTGTCAACCCAGTGACTGTTGGGTCTCCCCTAACCAGTGACAGCCTGGTGACAGCAGAGCTTATGGTGTCTCTGTCGTTTTCACTCCATGTGTTATGGATCTCACTGTTATTTCACAGGTGGGGGGGGGGTGCAGCAGACACGTGGCAAAGTTGGCATTTGGACCCATGACCCCTCTACCAAGGGCACCTACACTGAGCCCATCAGGTGTGCCAGGGCAAGGTCATATTCTTCTTTCTCTCTTCCAGGCCCTGAAGCGCCAGAGCTCCCTGGGCCTCTCCTTCTTCAATAGCATCCTAGCCCATGGGGACCTTCGTAACAACAAGCTGAACCAACTCTCTGTCAACCTGTGGCACCTGGCACAGAGGCACGGCTGTGCAGACACAAGGACCATGGTAAGCATCAGGGCCCTTGCCAGCTAGAGTGGTACTGACCTAGACATGGCATCAACATCACCGCATGCTGCCCTGTCACCCCTGAGATGGCTGCCAGACCCCAGAATTCTTTGGGTGACTCCCTAGTACTGGACAGCATCGCCAGTCACTCCCTCTCAGTAAAAAGTACTTGCTTGAAAATGTCATCCACTTCTGGCCACAGCCAAGTCTGAATCTTTTCCTCTGAGACAACGTGTTAGGTAGCTCAGGCTATCCTTAAACTTGCTATATGGCCAAAGAGGACCTTGAACTTCCAATCTTCCTAGTTTTTGTGGTGCTGGGGAGCAAACCTAGTGCTTTGTACATGTAAGCGCACTGCAAACTGAGCTGTTCCCAGATCCCTGAGTCTGAGTTTAGAAGTTACAATCTTAACATTTTCCTTCGCCCATCATTCCTCGGAAGACACCCCATTTTCAGCTAGGCAGGGTAACCTCACTTAGGGCCAGTTCAGAAGAGGCATTGGCCCCCAGGTCAGAGATGTGAAGCCAAATACAAGATGGAGCTCTTTTTTCTAGGTGAAGACTCTGGACTACATCAAGAAGCGCAGCAAACAACCTGACATGAATCATCTGACAGAGCTGGCCCTGAGGCTCCCTCTGCAAACCAGGACCTGAGTACTTGCCCTTGGGGGCCCCAGTGCCACTATCCTGGAAGACTTGCTTGGCTGCCATTAACTCCTCCTGGAATTTAGTTTTTATTTTTACTTTTATACTGGTTGATTTAAAGCTTTTGCCTTCTGACTGTTCTGACAGCAGAGGGGGAATTGACAGCATTAAAACCCAATCTTGTTCTTCATATAGTAGTGTCTTAGTGCATGTTTGCACAAGAGCATTGTAGGATATTTGTATACTGTATGAAGATGTATTGCTGTGATGGTGTAAAAAAGAGCCGAATGGCCAATAGCTAGGCAGGAAGAGGTTAGTTAGGCAGGACTTCTGGGGACAGAGAGGACTCTGGGAAGAAAGGTAGAATCACCAGCCAAGCACAGAGGAAGGATGGGCAGTACACGTAATGACACAATGTTAGATTAATATAAATGGGTTAATTTAAGTTATAAGAGCTGGTTGGGGAAAGCCTAAGCTCAGGCCAAACTTTCAAAATTAGTAAGTCTCCGTGTTGTTATTTGTGACCTGGAAGCCCAAAGAAAAATCCCTCTTTTCTGGAGGGCGTTTCAACTTGCTGAAAGCCCCCAGTTGTACATCACATCTTAAGGTTAGACTGTTCTACAAACACTTTGGAGGGATAATAAATGTCAGATTGCCAGTTGACTCCTTTCTGACTACAAGAATCACAGTTGGACTTTTGAATACAGGAGAAAGTAAGGTCACATTTGGGGCTCCCTGTAGTCTCAGTAGAAGTGTCCTCTACCTGGTCAGGCATGAGGTGTCCACCTGTAATCCCAGCACTTCAGAGGTGGAGGGTGTCACGAGTTTGAGGCCAACCTGGCTATGGATACTCTGCAGTGTCTTTCCTGTGACTGAGAAAATGTCCTGACAGACACAACTGCTCCAGGTGCTAGCTGATCACTTGTGGCTCCTACCTGGAGAGGACACACAGACCCACACACTGCTGGGCACCAAGGCAGTGTTTTTCAATGAGTTTATGGCTGCCCTTGATGGCTGGTAGCTTTGGGCTACACTTCACTATCATTGGCCCGCAGCGCTGCTGCTGATTTACAACCTGGAACCTCCAGCCTGTGAAAATGCATCCAAGCTTTGGCTCAGCTGTGCTCCAGGATGGCAGCACACACTTCCAAGTCCCAGCTACTTGGGAGGCTGAGGCAGTATTGCTTGGAGCTAGCCTGGGCAAAATAACATACACTCAAAACTATTTGTGCTTTAGGCATGGATTTTTATTAATCATTACTCTGAAACACTATACAAGACTAATCTAAGAAAATGAAAAATCATTTATATATAAATTCATGTGCTTACTCATATGAAACCAGCGTTACTGTTGTATATTTGAGGCCAATCTGATGACAGTTCCCACCACCCCACGGAATTGAGAAAATTGTCTTTAAAAAAAAAATTAACCGAACAAACAGAAGATGAGGCTGAGGACGTGGCTTAGGTGGTGGGATGCTTGCCGGGCATCCACAATGTCCACATAAACTGAGTGTGGTGGTCCAGGCCTGTAATCCCAGTACTCAGGAGGTAGAGACAGGAGGATCAAGAGTTCATAGTCCTCAGTTACATGTTTGAGGCCAGTCTGGGATAAATAAGCCACTCTCAAAAAAATAAAAATCAGATGCTGAATGCCTCTTCTGCTGTGAACCAGCACCCAGAAAGCACTGCTGTTGCTGCCCCTGTTGGACAGCATCAGCTCCCAACACTGGCCCAGCGAATTCCCAGTGCTCCTGTGTTAACCTCAGTTTAGCCTTGCATTAGGTACACATACCACAGGTCCTCTGAATCTTGTTGTCAACCTGGGCAGAAGTGTGGACTGGAACAGCTTCCCTTGCCTGTTACTGGCAGGCTGGTCTTTGAAATTCCATCTCCACAGGATGGCATCTACTCCCTTTAGGAAGGACATATAAGATTTAGGAAATGAGTAACAGGGACACTTCATGTCCTTAGTTCCTGGTTCTTGCTACTTTAACAAATTACATACATAATGGCTTCTTGTGTTTTTTACCATCTGAAAATTGGTGGTCAGAACTCACTGGTCCCTCTGGGCTAGGTCATGGTGTCACCAAGACTAAGCTCCTTTGTGGGTACTCTGGTGGAAGTGCTGCCCAGTTTCTAAGGACTGCCCGAGGTCTTGGCTTGTGGCCTTTTCCTTTCAAGTAGCTGTCCTTCCATGTTTCTTCCACACTAACTCTTCTGTCACCTTCCAGTTAAGGGATTTTGTGAGGCGCCTACTCAGGTAATCCAGGATCTTTATTTCAAATCAATTTGACTAGCAACCTTAATTCCCTTCTGCCAAGGGTATGGGGTTGGGGGGGGGGTTCTGCCTGCTACAACCTGAGTAGCATGAAGCTTGCAGAGCTGAGTCATACCCTCCTTTAGGGGACAACAGTGGCTAGTTGGGATCCTTCTGACAGGTCACAGTCAGGGTGTGGCCTTGTGGACTCAAGTAGACTGTGCAGAAATCAGCCCAAGAACAAAGTGGTAGGAACCATGAGATACGGGTGACTGTTGGCGGGTGACTATGGACAAGGATATTACTATAAAGCACCAGCAAGTGGTGAGAAATGCCTGAGAGAGAAACAGACAAGTTCAAAGCCTGTATTGGGTCACTGACAGCCCACACCCACATGGAGACATCAAGCAGAAGACTGAAGTTCTGGGAAGGTATAAGATATGGAGACGGGGAGTATGGTGGCTCAAGCCACCACCAGTAGGACAAAAGCCTAGTTAATAGAAGCAGAGTCTTTCAGTGCAGAGACAAGGCTGGACTCCTGAGGAGGCCCTACAGCCTATTTGCTCTTAGACTCCAATTCTTACTTACAGAGGAGTGAGCAAATGGAGCACCTAAGTCAGTGCTGAGACAGCAAGCTACAAACATAAGTCCTTCAGCACTGAGACTAGTCACAGGTAAGAAAAAGACCTGGTGCACACGCTTGGGTGACAGTTACCAAGGTATATGTGGCATGAGATGGCAACCCAGCCCATGTAGATGTCGAAACCCACAGGTTGACAAACACTGGTCTAGAGGTTGCCTCAAAGTCAGAATTCTGCCCTCTGAGAATGAAGGTGGCTCTTTTTTGTTTCTTGAGGCTGAATCTATGAAAGACCAAGTTCATCTGAGGAAAGAGGCTTAAAAAGGTCTTTGCTAGGGCCGGGCGTTGGTGGCGCACGCCTTTAATCCCAGCACTCGGGAGGCAGAGGCAGGTGGATCTCTGTGAGTTCGAGGCCAGCCTGGTCTACAAGAGCTAGTTCCAGGACAGCCTCCAAAGCCACAGAGAAACCCTGTCTCGAAAAACCAAAAAAAAAAAAAAAGGTCTTTGCTAGCAGACACACTTGTAGGATATGACACGGCCTATGCCTACAGGTCGGAACAGGGTCGGGTAGAGGCAGTTGCTTCAGGCTGTGCCACCACTGCTGGCTATATGGCAGTATGGAATACCTCACCCTCTCTCTGGCTGAGGAACATCTCCCTCACCAAAGGGTTCAACATAGGACCAACCACACAGAACTGAATGAAGCCAGAGAACATTCTCCACGAGACTGCTGGAAGTTTCTTTGGCCAACTCTAGAAAACTGGGGCATTTGCAGCCTGGAATTGCTTCTGTCATCTTCCCAACCAGCTCAATTACACAAACACTGAGGATGAAACCAAAGAATGAATGTCCTGGATGAGTGCAGCATCAATCCTCCAATACCCAAGCCCCTGACTAGGGTTTCTGCTTGTGAGAGACCAGGCTTGCAATGGGATATCTGGGTGAGGTGCCAGGCCAAGAGATAGGAAAACGTCCTTATGTTAACCATGATGCCCAGACTGTCAAAGGTTGGTAGAAGAGAAAGTCATGTCATGCAGATTTCTGAACCTGGAGCTTGCCGTGTAGTTCAGGATAAGGATGTGCCCGCAGTAGATAAAGCACCGTATTCTCCATTCCTCCTTATATTTGACTTCACACAAGTTGTCCAAGATGTCTCCCTTGGGAACACACTGCTGAGAATCTCACATGGGTTCATATGCAGGATTACCTGTCCAAAATGCCTTGCTTGAGATCCGGTCAATGCACAGAAACATCAAATGCGAGCACAGCACTCAGTTGGCCGGATGAAAGCAGCCAGCTCAGAGGTTATCTCCCACAGAGGACACGCTTGGTCACATCTGGCCGGTACACCTCACCTGCCTCCTGAGGAGGAGGTAAGGAAAAAAATTTGTTGGTCCCTATGGAAGAAATGGCACAACACTTGCTTTCTTCATTCAGATGCAGGGTGATGTACTCCTGAAGGTGACCCTTGGCGATTTTATTTATCCCTGAACTTAAGTTGCGGCATCCATAAGATGAAGATGAGAGTAGCACCCATTCCATAATTAGGTTTAAATACATCAATACAAGGAAAACGCTTCAGTCAGGGCCCTGTACGCGTCAACAACTGCTAGCTACTATTACTTAAAATACTTTTACCCAAAGAGGTGGAAGGTTTAATACAGAAAATAGGAGGTTTTAGCCACTGGTACTGGCTCCTGACACACAAGCAGGTTTCACCTGCTTGTTTAAAACTCATCATGAAGCCAGGTGTTGGTGGCGCACGCCTTTAATCCCAGCACTCGGGAGGCAGAGGCAGGCGGATCTCTGTGAGTTCGAGGCCAGCCTGGTCTACAGAGCTAGTTCCAGGACAGTCTCCAAAACAATACAGAGAAACCCTGTCTCGAAAAAAAAAAAAAGAAAAAAAAAAAAAAATCATAAGTGGTCCTCAGTATCTGCAGGTGCCTGATCCGAGCCAATTTGGTGGCTGCAAAACTGACTAAGAAATGCAGTTTGAGGAACAGGACAATAAAGTTTAATCTTGCAACTTGATAGACTTGGAAGCGTTCCGGTCAATGTAGAAGACCTTGCGGGCCTCAGAGGGGAAGCCCAGGCCAGCCCCACGATTGTACTTCCAGCTCATGGCCCGGTCATAGTCCTGCTGCAGATTCTGCTGGAGCATATCTGAAGACTTCTTGTCCAGGGCCATGTTAGACCTCTTAGTCATGCTGGGAGGACGGCTGAATGATGGGGACAGATGTTTAAAGCCACCCATAAGCTTCAGGAATTTCACCTTCTGTTCTTCGTTTTCAAAGCCAGCGGTGTCCCACTGGCCAAACTGGGTTCCCTGAGTAGAGAGTAGAAGGTTGTCATTGCCTTTGAAGACAAACAGTTCCCTAAACCTCAGCCAAGCAATGGACTGTTTCATCCATCCTAATGAGCCCTAAAGCTTAATGGGAGTGATGTGTCAAGACGACTCCCCATGAATAACAATGACCAGTGTAAGAGCCCACCATTGGCTTCTAACAAGTGTATCACTGCATGCCAAGCTAATTCAAGCTCTACTGTCTGCCAACACATGGTGGTATCAAGAAACTTCACCTCACTTCATATATTACACACCATGCCTCAAAACACAAGACCACCTCACCTGACTGTAACACATCTCAACCTTTCCATAGTCCAGTCCAACTTGTGTTTTGTGACTGTGTTCATATATAATGTATGTGCACACATGTGGAGGTCAGAGAACAACCTAAGGGGTTGGTTCTTGTCTTCCACCTTATGAGAGACAAGATCTAAACTGATTTTTCTGCTGCATATGCTTGACTGGCCCTGAGCTTCCAGAGATCCTCCTATATAACCTGTGTTGTGTAGCCATTCTCTGATTTTAAGTATCCATTCTGAGAGGGAAGCTTATTAAGACCCAGGAAGTAAACTCAGAAGTCTCAGACAGTCCCTGGAACTTAGTGGGTCACAAGGCTACTTCCTCAAGGATATATGAGCAGGAAGGACTGCATAGCAGGTGAGCATCCTCTAAGTCATGTAGAGTCCTCCAGAGTTTCAGCTTTCATGAGTTGTCACTCATGCTGAGGTGGACTTTTGTTAATGCAGTCAGTCTCCCTTCAGTTATTCATACTCTCCCCCATACTCCTGTAACCCCAATAAACTAATTTATTCAGCAAGTTTGACTTTGGTGGTATCATTACTTTGGTGTGACATCAGTTCCTATATGGGATAAGTAGGAGTTTGGCTGTCCCTCCATAGATCAGTGTCATACAACAGACTCCCAGCACCTCATAAGAGTTCTGGGATTGCAGACACTTGTGCTATGTGTCTGGCTTTCATGGGGCTTCTGGGGATTCAAACTTAGATGCTTGAGTGGCAAGTGCTTTAATCACCAAGCCACTTCCCTCACCCTTTCCCTCACCTTCCCGCAGCATAGAGCACACCACCCCTTCCTTAGCCTCAACATAGCAAAGCTGCCTCACAACATGGCACGCTCAAGCCAGGTACTCCTGACCAAGAGGAATAGGGTCAGGAACCAGAGGTGCTGCATTTATCATCAGTATATAGATGCCCCTTGAGCTAGAAAATGTGAGCAATCTCTAAGACCCACTCCATCTCTGTAAGGTCTGTAAGAAGGGCAGGAAGCCCAGGTCCCCAAGATTGTCATGTTGAAGTTATGCAACTTGGGGTGGGGTCCCACCTGTATGGCTGATCAAGACACAACCACTCTCTCTAAGCCTCAAAAGTCATCCTCTAATGGGCTGACACCCTCACACAGCATTGGAGAGAACTGAGTCAGACCTTAATGCCAAAACCCCAGCATAGTTTTCAGTACATCCTAGGCCACTTATCATCTCTTGACTGACCTCCACATGGCCTGGGAGCCAAATGCCAGCCTAAAACTCATTTCTAGGTTGGTGCTGGGGAACAATCAGAACAGATGGTACCACAGCTGTTCTAGATGAACTGGTGACTACTCAAGGATGGTGCCTAGAGCACTGGTTGAATGATGTGACCATGTCTCTTGGTCTATTTATTCAATTTGGTGTCCTATCAGCTCTGCTCAGCTTAAGAGGTAAGAAAGAAGACACCTAATAAAACTCCAGGGCTAGAGGCATGGCTCTATTGGTAAGGTGCTTGCCTAGCATGCATACATGTAATCACAGCACCTGGGAGGTACAGGCAGGAGAATTAGTTCAAGTAGTTCATAGTTGCCTACACAGTGAGTATGAGAGGCTACATGAGACCCTATCTAAACACACAAAAAACCTACTCCATCCCCCTGCTCCCCCAGGGCCATAGGAGGAACCCATTTCATAGGAATGGAAGTTGAGGTTCTCCAAGGAGAGGACACTAGAGAGTGGCAGTCAGCAACTGGCCTCAGACATTCTATCTAAATCAATGCTGTCTGTTAAGCATGAAGCTAAGAACAGAGCAGGCAGACTGTCCCCACCCCAGGGGTGGTCTCCCCCACCCCCACAATTCACTCCAGTACTAAATCCAAGCCAGGCTTCCCAAACACATTATAAAACTTTCTATTCTAACTCCTAGTCCCCTTCCTGTATTTATACTCTACAGTGGCTCCCTCAGGTCACTGCCCAGTAGAAATGTCCCTGTGGTCCCAGAGTGAACTGCTGTAACACAATAGCTAGTTACTGCTACCCTGTCACTAGTCTGGCCTTTGCAAGGAACCAGTCTGAGTCCATTCCCACTTTGGCACCCTGCATGCCAAGGACTGATACCACCACACTCAGGGTCTTAGGACAAGTGTCACCTGCCCTGAGAAGCCTCACTTCTAATCATCTAGTAAGCATACCAACCCCTACAGGCCCTAGACCAGTGCTTTTCAACCTTCCAATTGCTACCGCCCTTTACCAAAGTTCCTAATGTTGTTAGGACCCCACCATAAAACTGTTTTCGTTACTCTGTAACTGTAATTTAGTTACTGTTATGAGTTATAATATAAATATCTGTGTTTTCCAAAGGTCTTAGGTGACTCCTGTGAAAGGGTCATTTGACCTTAAAGGGGGTTGTGACCCATAGGTTGCGAACCACTGCACCAGACAGACTATGATGAGGGTCGTGTGCATCTCCACGACCCGCACAGTGTGAGCACAGGATGGATGCCAGCTAGGGGCCAAGGAAGGCAGAGAGATGGTGCTATGGCCAGGCCCAACAAACTATGTGGCCAAGTGCATGGCCCTTGTATCTCTCATCTGGCCTATTTTCTTAGGGAAGGTCTCTTAGGACTTGGAAAAGACTTAAGGGTCTAGAGTCTTAAGAGATCTTCCACACTTCCTGCATGCTCTAAGCAGCCCTTTATGGGCACTTCTCATAATTACAAAGAGCCCCTTGTGATTAGTGTACAGGCCACTCGATCATCTACAACAGTATACAAAGTCTAGGTGGCACATCTCCAGCTTCCTAACAGGGAGACCAGCACTCCTTTAGAGGAAGTAAAGCTGGCTCAGACCAGTTCTGAGCTTGTCCACCTTAGGTTCTGGATGTCAAGCCCACCACAGCAAACCCACCGTCCATTTCCTGGGGTCTGAAGGCTCTGTCTTGCCTGATTCACGGTCAATCTCTTCTTGCAAGGCCTTCCGCCTCACCTATGCAAGGACAAAAGAAGAGGGTGATGAGACCCAGAATCTTAACGCTGCACAAAGGTAGGCTAGGGATGTGGGGCGGCAAATCAAGAGCTTCCCTCTGTTACTAAGCACACAGGATACTCTGGTTAATAGTTAGTGCCCTGGCCTGAAACACTTGTCTTGGGCACAATTTCTTGAGAAGTGATTTTCATGTAACAGAGGGTTATCCACCTTTACCAGAAGAATAGTTTGTAACAGTGATGTTTTGAAATTTGTCCACACTGCAATACCTGTCATGTTCAGTGTATAATGTAGTCAACTTCTGCAAGGACAGCACTGCTTTCTATGAACAAGGCAGACACAAGTTGGAATCCCAAAAATGCTAACCGGCTGTGCAGTATTGTAAAACTTATCTAACCTTTCTGATCCTTGATTATTCATCTGCAGAAGCCGAAAAGCTCCAGAAGCTTGTGGTCATAAAAGAAGCAGAAGCATCTGTAGCAGAGCAATGGGCATTCCTGGGCTAGGCCAACTCAGGGTTTCCGCCAGCACCCCAGCAGCCCACAGTGCAATGGGCACTTTTGAGCTAGGCTAGCTCAGGGTCTCTGCCAGCACCCCAGCGGCCCACAATGCAGTCAAGAGACAGGGCCTGGGAGAATGGAAGCTCCACGGACAGCCCCTCTGCATGTTGTTCTGGGCCTCTATAGCATCCCTGGCCCTGCAGGGAGGTTAGAAACTGCCTGGAGGCCAGTGGTCCAGGCCTGCCCTAGAGAGAGGCTCTAGAAGCATCATTCCTCTGGTTTTCCCCTTAGTCACAACATGCATCACTCTCCTTCAAGTGTAGTCCCCCACACCCATAGCATTACATCAGATTTGGCACATCACCATCTCTTCTGGGTGGCCCATCCCAGGCTCTCCCCACTTCTAAACACAGCCTCCACCTTCCTTTCTCTCCTAAGGTAGAGATGAGGCCCTGTGAGGCAGGATTATCCAATCTGTCACAGTACTGCTTCAGCAGGCACCATGGGGACCAGCTGCCATCTATCTGGATTTGTGACTCTTTCCAATACACCCTCCCCTTGGTCTCCACGGCTGCCTGTGAAGACCCATGCTGATTCACAGAAGAGAGGGGTCAGCAGCCAGTGAACCACGGACTAATACCAGGCCGCCCCTACTGCTCCTTAGTCCTGCCAGGCACTACAGTCAAGGAACATAAAAATATCCCATCTCCACAAAATCTAAATCCCACACAGGAATCTGCACATGACAGAGTGGAAACTAGTATCTAAGATATCTCTCAAGCTCCTCAATTAGTGGCTGGGCACATGTATCTGCTCTAGCTACAGGGTCATAGGATCCCATCCTTCTGACACCCTGCAATGGGCTACATGGAAGGGCCTCAGAAATAGTCACAGCAGTTTTGCAATCCCCTGGCCAGAGGTGCAGGAAGGTACAAGTCCACCTGCCCCTAGAGGTGTGTCATGGGATTGACCAAGAGGCCTTCGGAGACCCTAGTCCCTCTGAACACAGGAACTGTGGCCTGATGGGTGCTGAGGGTTCCTAGGAGTGACAAGAGGTAAGGGAGGGCATGGGACAGACTGGGCCATACCTGATCTATGCAAGCCTCATCCATGTTGCCTTTCTTTTCCAGTACCACCTCCAGGTCTGTGTCCGACTGCTGCAGGGAAGACAGGCAGATATTAACTCAAGTAAGTAAGCCGTGATCCCCCTAATTCCAGCAGCCCACTGAGGAAAGTCATATGATCTAGGAAAAAGTGACACCCAGACAGAACCTCAGCCAACAAAGCCTTGCCCACTTTCCCTTCCATGCATCTCCCTAGCAAAGGGTGGCATTAAGCCAGATGACAGATGAGGCTGAGACTCAGAGAGGTAAAGGGACTCATAACCAGGCTACCCTGCAGCTCAGTGACAGACCTAACTCTAATCCAGGGCTCCTGATTCAATGGCTGGTGTGCAACTGAGTTACCCTTGGCTTGCTGATGGCCCAGGAAGGGTCTCCCCAACCATTTTTATCCAGTTCCTCAGGGTACCCTCTATATGCAAGTTACACCAGGGGCAGTCCTTGGTCCACCATGAATGACAACTGCCAACAGCTTTTGCACTCTTTCATTAGAATGCTGTGCTTGGCACCAGTGTTATGCATGTATGTATGAGATGACTGGGGGAGGGGAACTTTCCTTACCCCTCCTTACATCATTACTCATGGCCTGGCCTGTGTGACTCAGGAGACTGTGTAGGCTGTTTGGAAGATGTGAGGCAGAGGGAATAACTTTCCCTGGTCTCCTTGGGGAAAGTGGTCCTAAAATTAATTGGGAACTAGTTTTAAACCTCTGGGTTCCTCTCGCCCTGAATTTTGGGTGTTGCATGCACATGGGTGCACACAATTGGAGCAATTAGGGTCTTCTGTAACTTTCTTCTTCATTGCCTTGAGATGGTCTCTCAAAGGAGACCAGAAGCTGGCTAGCTTTTGGAATCTTCCTCCCCACCACTGCCGAGGTCAGAGGCACATAGTGCCATGCACAGCTTTTAGGTGGCTACTGGGGATTTGAACTCAGATTCCAATGCTTACAGAGCAAGCACTCTTACCCATTAAACCATCTCCCTAACTCTGAGTTTCTGAATAAAAAGGAGCAGCAGGGTCAGCTTGCCAGCATGCCTGATTGACCTAAATTACTCAGGACTCACATAATGGAGAGAACAGTCTTCCTCAAATTGTCTTCTGACTTCTACGAATGAGCCATGTGTAGTCAAACAAAGCCTACTACATGATGACAAAGCTGGGAGAATGCCACCAGCCAGAAGCACCCTGCAGGCCCCAACATGGAGCCATCCCCATCATCCGAACCCCATCTGGGAAAGTATTGCAGGCCAACAATGTCTTGCTGATGTCCTATCTCCCAAGGTGCCCCTCAGTAAATGCCCATCATCACTCATAGGAGGGAAGGCCACAGAGCAAAGGCTAGTAGAGCTGAAGAAGCCGGGGCTTGCTTCTGCTTCAGTGAAGATGGTCATTTTTTGGGCTGCTGAGACATTGGGTTTTGGGATAGGACACACTGGCATCTCCTGACACATTCAGGGATGTCCTGAGCCCCAACTCTACTTGGTCACAGCTGGGAGACCTCAGGCAAATTCCCTTCAGCCTCACACTGTCCTTGTCTGTGAGTTGGAGGAAGTAGGAAACCTTCTCCACCAGACTTGTGGGTGAAGTTCAAAGCTCAGAGCACCAGGAACACTATGTAATCTCTACAGCCTGCAGCTGCTGATACCAGGCTATCTCAAACGATCAGGCTTTGGAGGTAGCCAGCAAGTGGAAAGAACACAAGCCATAAGATATTCATGCAAAAAAATGACCCCCATTTATGGATGATGAAGGACCCCTGTACTACTAGGGATGCTGCAGGAGCCCTGGACCCTGTTTACCTAAAAAGATACAATCCCTATCATTTTCTAGTACATAGTAACACATCCACAAATGCTGGGGTTCTGTCAGATAAATGCACAAGCGTCCGTGATAACATGTATATAGGCACTCGTATGTCAACCCCACCCCAAGTGCCAAGCAAACCTACCTCTTCTTCCTCCTGCCAGGGGTCTTCCTTTACTCCACTCTCTTTCCTCTTCTTCTTCCTTTTCACAGCCAGCCCCTCATCACCTGACTGTTCCACCTTTTTCTTGGATTTCACTTTCTTTTTCCCGGGGGTCTTCGGGCTTTCTATTGGGATGTACTCCAAAGGCTCACTTTTGGCTGACTTCTTACTTCCTTTCTTCAGGCTGTTCTCCATGGAGAGCTTGAAGTGGACTGGGAGGATGTCTCCCTCTTGGTGGGTCTTCTTTTTCTTCTTCTTCATGCTGTGCTCTCTGGGGCTGCCCTGCTTCCTTTTCTGCCCCAAGGCTGCCTGCTCCTCAGCCTGCATCCTCTCTGAGCATGGGCGCAGAGCATCCCCAGCCCCACAGCGCCAAGAGTCCTGGGGAGGAAAGGCTTCCCTGTCCAGAACCTTTTTATCCTTCCTGTGTTTCCCGGACTTCTTACCGGCTTTGCTTACCTCCTCAGCGTGCTTGGGGTCTAGGGAGTTCTTCAGATGGGAGCCTTGGGAGGTGGCCTGCGGCAAGGACTTGCTCTTCTTTTTCTTCTCTCCGCTGAGGCACTCTGCTGACTGCTCAAGGACCGGCCTTCTAGGGCTGGGGGACGTATTCTGTCCTGCCCGTGTGGCCTCAGACTGCAGGTGCTCCTTCAAGTGAGCACTAGGGGACTTTTTCTTCTTCTTTCTCTTGCCTGGCAACATTTCAGGGACCTGCCCTTCATCCACATTGTTACAGGGGGGATGTGGCCCTTGGAGAAACATCGACAAAATAATCGTTACTGTTTAGGACTGAGTACTGAGTCTCTGGTTCTGCGACCTCTGCAACCACCACCTTCTTTTTCTTCTTCTTTTTCTTCTTCTCTGGGAGCTGTGGGACCAGGTCTACTTTCTGAGTCTTGGTGACCATTCCTGAGGACAAAAACAGAAATAATGCAATCATCATTTTACCCAGTCCCTGAAGTTCTTTACAGTATTTCTCAGAGTGGACAGTTTGACATGGGGATGGGGGGGGGCGGGACAGGACACGACACAGTCAGATGGCTTATCGTTCAAACCCAAACTACTCGCTCAACTTGACTGGATCACCTAACCTCTCTGATTGTCAGGTGCTTTTCCTGGGCAGAAGAAACACATCCATCCTTGAAGAGGAGCTAGAAAACCTACAGAAGAGGCTCTGAGTACTACGGAGACCTTGTCCACATTTTCCTAAAACCCCAGACCTAAACTCAACAAATATTTACCAAGTGTCTACACTAAGCTGGCACTGCAGGAGCCAACCGTGATCAAACCATTGGCTGGCCCCCGGGGGCTTCCCTTTTACCAGATGTCTCAGAGAGGAACTCCAAGCAGCCCTCCTCACTGACTCCCACCAGATCCAATAAAGAGGCATAGTTAAGTCAACCCCTTCCTGTCTCATCTAAATAGCCCTCTTATGCTAAGTTAGGAATGAACCCCCTGCTCCCCAACTTTTACCATCCTAAGCTACCTAAATGATGTTGCACAGTGAGACAAGCCTCAGCCATGATTCCAAACATTTGGGTCAAATGGTTGCCTTATACCATTGGCTTCTCCTAATCTCAGTTTTACCACCCACATAAAGGCCCAGAAGGTAGTATTCAATTGCAGACTGCCTCAGTCTACAAGACTGTTTCACTGTTTTCAATTTCAAAGTGACTGCTAGGAATTAATGAGTGGCAATAACACTTAGAAACCTTGATTATTAATCTAAAATAAATGTTCCAAAGACATGCCTATAGATCAATCTTTTTTTTTTTCTTTTTTCTTTTTGGTTTTACTAGACAGGGTTTCTCTGTATTGTTTTGGAGGCTGTCAGTCCAACCCGGCCTCGAACTCACAGAGATCCGCCTGCCTCTGCCTCCCGAGTGCTGGGATTAAAGGCGTGCGCCACCAACGCCCAGCTTAGATCAATCTTATGGAGGCATTTTCTCAACTATGAGTTCCTCTTCTCCAATGTCTCGAGCTTGTGTCAAGGTGGCACACAACTAACCATCACAGTGTGTCCAGTTGTCAACATGATTTTCTAGCTTGGGCAATAGAAGGATGGTTGTGTCAACTCTTTAGGGCAGATGCCTTGGACAGACACCTTGATAGGCACTTTATGGGTGTATGTACAGTGAGGCAAAGGTGTGACTCTGGCCAACATGGACGGCATAAACAGAGCTACGGGGATAGTAATTAAGCAGGGAACAGACTGGGCCTCAGGATGTACCGACTTTTAGGGAACAAAGGATGGGAACTCACACAAGAGAGGAAGATGAAGTCCCTAGAGGGTGGGTGACAAGTAAGATGCTACAGGATTGGGGGTAGTAGTCAAGAGAGGTGATTGGGATTAAAAGTTCCAAGAGTCAGCTTAACCCACTTTTCAGCTCTGCCACTCGGTACCCTGTAACATCCTCCTTCCCAGACCTGTAACTGTACAGGTGTCCACTCTCGTCAGAAGTGGAAACGAGCCTACACTGCATCACCTAGAAGCACACGCTTTCTTCAAAAGCGCTTTGTTTTTTAGGTAAAGTTTGGCTACACCGCCAGGCTGGTTTGCAATTCGTGCTCTTCCCGCCTCAGCGTCCCACGTGCTGGAATCACAGACGTGGGCAAATACGCCCGGTCTTTATTCACTTTTAAATTCCCGCGGGAGCCCTCAGGCAGAATTGGTGTGACTCCAAAATTTCTTGGGCCTCAGAGACGTTAAATAACCAGGTCTCAAAGTCAGCAAGCGGCAAAACACGGATTCGAAAACAGAGGCGTGTGCTGTCCTCATAAACCGCAGGCTCCCGACTTACAGGCGGGAGGACTTGGGGAGAAACCGAGGGCTGCGGGCAGGTCTGGGGGTGACTTATCTTTGATCCTCGTCGTCCTCACCATGCAGTCCCCACTCGGGAGCCCGCCCGCGCCACCCACACTCACCTGGTCCACCCGCAGGCCAAGCCTCCCCACGTGAGCGCTCGCGTCGCCGCGACCCGGAAGTCATCATCGAGTCTTTGGCCCGCCCCGGGGAGGGCCGTCTTCTTCCGGGTCGCGGCCTCACGTTGCCCACGGTTGCTGTGGAAACCGCGTGCATGGCGGCGCCCCGACAGGTGTGGAACCGCAGCGTTCAGCGAGAGGAGGCGGGAGGTTCCGCGGAGTCGTCGGTCGCTACGCGGACGCCCGTGCCCGCAGTGTCGCCCGGGTCCCCAGAAAGGCTCGTGTCGCCCGCGCAGGTCGCCGAGCCGCCGGGGAAGAACCTGTGGGAGCAGATCTGCGAGGGTAGGCAGGCGGCCACCGCTGGCCGGGCCGGGCCAGGCGGGACGCGGGCGGGACCCGCGGGGACGCGCGTTCTGAACCTCTGTGCGCCAGGCGGGTGACGCGCGCGTGCGAACTAGCCTCGGGCCCACACGCGAAGAACCAGGCTGGCGGCTGTCTGCATTCCGGTGCGACCACAGGCAACAGGCATGCAGGAGGAAACCGAGTCAGGGAGTTGCGTGGTGTGGAGCTTCAGGGTGGAGACCCGGACCACCCGCAAAGCTCCCCATGGGAAGAAGGGAATGGGCTCTGTAGACTGGTCCAGGTAATTCCAGTGTGGGGAGGCAGTGGCCCATTTGGGGAGTACTTCGTTGTGGACAAATGGGTTTTGATCTCTTCTTGCCCCAGGTTTCCTTGGACTCCCACAAACACAGGCAGGCTCACTTGTTCCTTTGTAGCCGTCGTACCTTGATCGTGGGGTCCTGTGTTAGTCTTCTAGTGGACATAACAATGGTTTGTACGTCGCGATGTTAGGAGACGGAACCACGTAGCCACAAGTCCTTGGTTACGGGGATAGTGCTAATTTTCCTTCATTCCAGAGCTTTCAGATCTCAAAATCAAAGACACAAACTCATTCCTAATCATTCTCACTCTTTCCCAGTCCCTTCCCCTCCCCCTTTTCTCTTTTCTCCCTTTGTACTTAAGGCTGGCCTCCAGCTCAGAATACTCCTGCCTCTCAACTACTGGAAAATGTTCACTCTTGCTACATTGACTGTCTAATACAGTACTAATAGAGCCTTCAGTAATCTGTGGTGTTAGACGTGTTTAGCAGAACTGAAGAACCAATTTTCTTATTTTACTAAATTTAAATAGCAATATACAGCTGTTGCATGGAATATTTCAAGGCCAGTAAACATTTATTGACTGGAAACAGTGAAATTGCTAGTATATAAAGGGAAGAGAGATGAGTTGGAAGGAATGGAGAATAGAGAGGACAAAGAGAATTGTGAGCTCAGAATCAGTACCCCCAAAACCATCTAGTTCAACTCCATTAGGGTTTGAATCCTTCTTCAGTGTAACACTTGTTCTAAAGCAAAATGTTTCATTTTGATGTTCTTTAAGTTCTGAGGGGCTAATCTATAGCAATATTTGGATATCCTTATATTTATTGTTGTCTTTTATCCAGAGAATTCACTTTTCCAGGCCAATAGGTCTTCATAGAAACCCTGTCACAAAAAAAAAAAAAAGAAAAGAAAATCCCTGACAAAAGCAACTCAAGGAAGGGCTTGTTTGGGCTCACAGTGTGAGGGTACAGTCTGTAGGGTGTTAGGGGCCAAGGAAAAACACCCTGACCCTGACTTGGGAACAGGGATTGAAATCGCACCAATCCTTGAGGTACCCAAGCACAAAACCCCACCAATCTTTGAGCACAGATTCCCACCAGTCCCTGAGCGCCCCCTCCCCCCAACCCTATATATCACCCTAGAGACAGAGGCAGCCACCCTCCTGGATTCTTCCTTCACAATAAATCTCTTGAGTGAGATTTGTTGTGCTCTGTGACATTTTCACTGGAGTGAAGCCCAGTCATAACAACTTTGGCCAGGTCAGAACTATAGGGAAAACCTTCCCCTAGTGGAGCGCAGTTGTTACACTCTGGGGGACCTAAGCAAAGCTGTAACACTTTTGCTGGGGAAACTTTCCCTTAAGTGAAGCAGAACTGTAACATGCTATAGAATACTCCTTCGGTACACTGTAAAGATGTGTTGTTCTCATTGTTAATAAAAAGCTGATTGGCCGATGGCTAGGCAAGGTTTTCCAGGCAGAGGGAATGCTGGGCAGAAGAAGGGTGCAGTCATGAGACACAGAGCAAGCAAAATGGGAAGTACGTATATGAGGTAAATGAGCCTTGGGACAGCACATAGATTAATAGAAATGGGTTAATTTAAGTTATAAGAGCTAGCTAAAACCGAGCCTAAGCTATTGGCCAAGCATTCATAATTAATGTTAAGTCTCTGTGTGGTTATTTGGGGAGCAGCTGGTGGGGCAGAAAAGTCTGCCTACAGTAACACTTCACTGGACCTGAGCAGAGCTATAACTTCTCTGTGGAAACCCTCCCCTGCCAGGGCAAAGTTGTTATATTGGTGAAGCCTTTCCCTAGAGCTGTGAGCTGCTACACTTACAGTGACTGTGTGGTGTTCCTTGGCTCCTGACTTCCAGGATATCTTTCCATCCAAGATGCAACACTTCCGTAGTCCATCATTATAGCAGGAGCTCATGGCAGCTAGTCCATTACCTCCATAACCAGGAAACAAAGAGAGATGAATGCCGGGACTCAACTCACTTTCTCCCCCCCCCCCAGGGTTTCTCTGTATTGTTTTAGAGGCTGTCCTGGAACTCGCTCTGTAGATCAGGCTGGCCTTGAACTCACAGAGATCTGCCTGCCTCTCCTCCCGAGTGCTGGAATTAAAGGCGTGCGCCGCCAATGCCTGGCTCACTTTCTTTTTTTTATTCAGTCCAGGACTCCAGCCCATAGGTGCTGCCCAAATTCAGAGTGGAACATTCTGCCTCAATCTAATCTAGGAACTTCCTTTACAGACATGCCCAGAGGTTTGTCCCCTAAGTGATTCTAGGCCCTGTCAACTTGACAATATCACAAGTAGTGTTGGGGAGGTGCTGTATGGGGGAGATAGTTCCTACCTCGCAGGGCTGTAGTGGGGGCCAAATGAGATAACATGTGAGAAGATGCCATGGATGTTGAAATAATCAATGCATGATTTTAAGCATTGATAAAGAACTTGCTTTGCCTTCTGTTATGGAATCAGTTTCTTTGGTGCTGTCATGTCTGGGTAAAATCAGGGACAAAAGGTTTCAGTGCGCTCTGAAAAGCAAGTGAATTGATGACACAAAATAATAGCTATTGAGCAATGAGGTGGTGATGATGGGCTCTATATATGGCCACCATGACTTCAACCTAGATGACTGTCCTAGGTATTTTTCTTGTGCTGTGATAAAACACTAACTAAAGGCAACTTGAGGAAGAAAGGGTTTATTTCAGCATACAGCTTCTAGTCCACAGTTGAAGGGAAGCCAAGACAGGAACTCAAAGCAGGAACCTGAAGCAGAGGCCATGGAAAATGATACCCTGGCTGTGGCTAAGCTAGCTTTCCTTATATAAACCAGGAACACCTGCCCAGTGCCCATATTGCTCACATCAATGAATAACCAAGAAAATGCCCACAGACATGTCCACAGGCCAGTCTGTTTGAAACAGTCCCCCAGACACCCTCAGATGACTCTGGTCTGTGTCAAGTTGAAAAGCTGAAGCTAAGTGGAAGAATGACTAAACCTAATTCTTACACATAGAAGTAATGTAGTTTTATATAAAAACACAGTGTATTCAACTTCCTAGAGGAAGCATGGAGCTGGGTGTAGTAGTGCACATCTGTAATCCTAGAACTGGAGGGGTGAAACTGGAAGACCCAGTGTTTGAGGCCAGCCTGAGCTACAAAGTCTCCCCAAAAACCCAAGAAAAAGGGATGGGGCAAGGAATATATTCTTTCTGGTAATCTTATCCCCGAAGTTAATTATTACGTTCTATTAGCATGAATCCATTAAAAAAGTTATCACAGCCAGTAGACCTGGAAGGAGCTCAATTTCATGCAAACAAGGTACAACATTGGTCAGTATCTAACTTAAGTTCTTTCTCCTCCCTGGCTCTACTATTGCTGTGTGTGCACCTGCCTGCCTGCCTGCCTGTCCAATAACATCTGTAAATGTTCATCAGTGTTCTTCCTCATCTTCCCAGCAACAACTAAAGCCTTTATATTCTCAAGATTGTGTTATAAATAAGCATCCTTCCAGTGCTTCTAATTAAATCATAGAGTGGTTTGTGATGTTAATGGTTTTGAGCAACAGTGAGCCTTGGCGTTTGAAGCTCTTCATTTCCTATTTTAAGTCATGGTGATTACTGCTATCAATATCCTCTTGCTGTCCTTGATTCATCAATCAATCACTCTAAACTCAGCAGCCCTCAATGTTATTAGAAAGTAGGTCTGTCATCCCACTGGCACTGGTCAGATCCCAGCATGGGTTCACCCTGAATGAATGCAGAATCTTCCTCCAACAAAGCAGCTGAGCCAGCCAGAGGAAATGACACCAACCAGCTCTGGGCACGACTCATCAGTGTCTTCTCCCACCTCCCACATCCAGTGGTCCAAGTTTTAACCCAAATAAATGTTCCTGCCAGTTAGCACAGGATACATTACTAAGAAAATGCCTGCAGTTGGGAATGGGCAGGAAATCCAACTTGTTTATGCCAACACACATAGAGTTCACACATTTAATCTCAGCACTTGGAAAGTAGATGCAGACAATCTCTGTGAGTCTCAGGTCATTCTGGTCTATAGAGTCCCAGGCCAGCCAGGGCTATGTAGTCAAACCCTGACCAAAACAAAGACTACCCCCCCCAGACAAACAGAAAGGCACACCCTACCACTCAGTGCTTTCTGGGCTTTGATACCACCCATCTTTCATATCTCTGCTAGCTTATCTCTTCACACACTCTGATCTGTAATCGAAGAGAAAGCCCTCTTCCAGCTCTTGTCTGTGTCCCCTCTCTGCCAGCTTCTCAAAGGAACACATGACCCCTTCTCACACCACTCCCATGCCCACTACCTTTCCAACCCAGAACAGAGTAGCTGCCACCCTGCTTCCCCTAGGAGTTGTTCTTCTGCTTCAGTCAGATGTATCTACTGCTGCTGGAAACTGTCTTTGTTACTGGGTCAGGCATGTCTTGCTGCTTATAGACACCAGCAACTTACTTTCCATCTCAGGGAATGTCACGTCTTCTACTCATACCCAGTCCAGAAATGCAGTGTATCTTGACTGCTTCAATTCCCATGATCCCTAAATTCATTCACCAGCCTTTGAATGTTGTATAAAATGAACACCAAGGAAGAGAGGTTATTGCAGATAAACAAGTAGGTGGGGTTTATGGCTTACAGCAGGATCAAGGAGACAGGTTT